AGGTGACCATTAAGTGCTACAGAATGAACAGGCCAAGCGAGACAACACCACCACAGACTGTAGCACAACTTAAACAAAAACAGAAGAGTTTTCGTCTCATGCTATGCGTCCACAGGATCCCGCTTCCTGGTCACAGTGTTTGTGAAACGCTTCGTGTCCTGTTCTGGAGCGTTACGGGGCGTTTCGAGCGACGAGGCGTAGTGTCGCCCGCGTGCTCATTTGCATAAAGTAGGCTTCTACTTTATGCAAATTTGGAGCGGAGGTCTGATTCCTGCCGTAACTTTCGGAAAACTAGCTGTTGTTGAACTAAAATGAGGACAGATTTAGCAGCTGCAGCTTATTTCTCGTCTTCAGTGTTTTCAGAAGCTGAACGGTTTTCGTAATAAAAGTTTGTGGCCGAGCCACCATGTTGGTTCGACACAGGACTGGTCAATAATTCAAATTTTCGTGAAAACAATATACGTCATGTGATTTCTACCTGACTGCATCCCCATCTAGTAAATCAACAGACAAGATGCTGTTATGTGATTAATTTTCTACATCTTAATTTATTAAGATATAATACTGTAATACTGATATAATACTGCTTATAAGCAGTATTATATCAAATATGACACCACATGTTCATTTTCTTCCACTTATTCCGGATGTCACTTCCCCATCAATGGTCTCCAGTTCCTCATGGGGGATCCCAGGCTAAATGAAACATATGTTCTGTCCAGCAAGTCCTGGCTCTACTCCAGGATGCTCAGAAAACCTCAACATTAAGGCATCCAAATGGCATCAGACGCCCAACCACCACCACAGCTTTTCTACGCAAAGGACTTCCCAGATGTCTGAGCTCTTCACCCCGCTTCTAACGCCTAGAGGAAACCTGTTTCATTCGCTTGTATCTTCCGGTCACTACCAAGAGCTTGTCACCGTATGTAAGGGTTGAAATAAAGACCACAACCATCCGATTCAACCCCTGCATTACTGCCGACGCTGCACCAGTCCATCTATCGGCAACTAAAGTTCAGGCGAGTCTTGTAGTTCCAGCTGGCTGCTTATACGCCACCGCTGGCTGTCAACGTTTTATTCTGTTTGAAGCACAGAAACACCAGCTAACAGAAGCACCAAACTCATGTGTACAGGTGGTTCTCCCACGACTCTAAATCCCAAACTGAAGTTTGGCGGCCGTAGTCTGAGAGCGGACTTTGCCTCAATAAGCCGAACAGAGTCAGTCTGTTCCCGTGTTGTGAAACAGTCACATCTCCTGATCATCAGGCCACGCCGAGGCCCAGACAGGACCAGGAAGTCAGCGCAGACTTTCTGGCATGCTGGTCAATCCCAGAGTTTAGCCTTTAACTAGCTTTTAAGACTCGGGCAACAGAAAACGACCTCCACAGACATTACAGTGTTGTAAATGTGACATCAATGATTAACACCAAATGTCCAACAGTTCCAGACTCGTAAGAGGTTTTTAGTTTTTCTTTGTCTTATGTGGCCATAAGCTTAGAAAACTGGTGGAAAACTGGTGGATATTTGTGATTGTCTTCTATCTTTTTTTGAGAGTTCATCAGAAAAAGAAATTCTGATCATATTTATTAGCTCTAATGCAGAGGAAGCTGGTGGAAGAGAGACATTTAACAGATAATTAAACATCTGAGACCATTTTTCTTCCCTAGTTTTCCCAGACAAACCACTAAAAATGCAAAAAGATGCGTTTTAAAATGTTATTTTTTTAAACATTTGTTACAAAAGCCTGAAAAGCAAGTTGACTGACTAGCCAACATTGGCTATAAATATAAATTAAATCAAATCAAATCAAGTTTATTGTCATTTTGCTGTACATACACAGTAGTGCAGACAAGATTAACGATTTAAGAGATTTACTCTCATTGCAAAGCTAAAACTTTTGCTACCAGAGCTGCAGATGACGATTATTTTCACAGTTTTGTAAATTAAATTTAAATTTATTGATCATTTTCACCATTCATCAATTAGTTGTTTCTATAAAATGACAGAAAATTGTGAAAACTGTCAGTGTTTCCCAACATGACGTCCAGAAATGTCTTGTTTTGTCCCCGAAGATGATTTACTGTCATAGACGAGGACAGAAACCAGAAAATATTCACATGTAAGAAGCTGGAATCTGAGAATTTCTTTCTTCAGAAGTTACGCAAAGCGATCAATCATTTATATAAAATAGTTACAGATTAATTTAACAGCTGACAAATAGTGGATTGCTTCTTACATCACATTTAAACTCTGTCAGACGTCTAACGGACGCCTTCAGCCAGCAGAAGTCCAGACTTTATGTTATTATTTCAGCCAAACAGAAATGTCGTATGAAGTAAATGCACATTACACAAGTCACTGTTTTAAACATCTCATGCTAAAGCAGCCAGTCAGGAAGCTTTATCCATGTGAGCAGTTTTTCTGTAGTGACTTTCAATGTGAAGGATCGCCGCCCCGTCATCACCACCAAATACACAGATTCAACACATTCCTCTGCTGAATGCTGCTTTTCCACAACAACACGTTTAAGTGAACACGTGTCGTCTTGAGCGGCCGCACAGGGTTTTCATTGTTCCCGTCTGCAGACGCGTAGAATGGCCAGAGCGACACTCCCTGCGCTAAGTGTGGTGTGCTCTGTCACCTCTGTGCAGAGCAGCCAGTGTAAAACATTAATGTTTCAATGAATACAGGAGTCCTGGGAGGCCCCGGGCAGCTCCACCGAGTCACCATGACTCGTTGTCGCGCCACGTTTCGCTGTGTTCAATCAGAACTTTGGTATTTGTTGAAGTGCCAGAGCAAACAGCGGCGGATCAGCGCAGGTGACTTCTAAAAATAGCAATATTTACACGTGTATAAAGTCGACTTTGATGGAGGTAATACTCCTCAGATTTAGTTGTTTTGGTTTTTGACTTTTTGGAACCATGTTGGGAACCAGTTTCCTCGTCATTCCTGAGATGCAGCAAGTTTGGCTCATCCTTAAACACACCACGTCGGACTTTTAACAAAGCCAAGGATCCCAAAGTTAGTCGACATCGTCACAACTGTCAACTTTAAAAGGCAAACTCAGTAATAGATCTTAAATATTTACCAGCACTGAGCACACTGTGGCCATCGTGAAATTAGTTTGTCTTATAAACTTACTTTAACCTAAATCATTCAAATCCAACCTGTTTGATTTGCCCATATGATAATAATAACAATGATTACTGATTAATTACTACTAGATTTTGTGTATTTGGCACATTTAAAAAAAAAAAAAAGCTCCATTTATTAAGCACTTTACAATAAGACAAATTTGAAATTAGACAAATAATGAATTATTTCAATGAATAAAATCTTAAACAGTGCAGTTTAACATACATTTTTTAAATAAAGGACATTCCAGACAACATATTATTAGCGGTGCACCTCACAGATGTTTATTTGTCAGTTAATCTTAGGATTATATTCCTGATTAATTGTTTAACAAACTTATGTCCCAAACTAAACGTACTCTTTCTAGAATGTCGTACAACTCAGAACAGCAACAAATCATTGCAACGTCACTGTTTGTTTTATTAAATATGTCGATTTTACTTGAAAAATTACTGAAATGATCAATAAATTGTCACAATGCTTGTGATTAACATAAATATAATGCTATTGTTTAAGCTCTAATCTTGCTAATATGTCCGAGTGAAGCGATTAAAGCGAGTGAACCTGTGGAGCTAAATATAGCTGCTGCTGCTGTGCGGTGCATTAAAAACATCCTGTGCTGTCCGTTCACTTCCATCAGTGCCGGTAACTCTTGTTTTAATTTAATTATATCGATCAAGAGACAAGAAGGCGAGCGAAAGACGGGAAGAGGAGTGGGAGAGGATGAAGGGGGGAAGAGAAGCAGAGGGAACACGGAGGAGGAAACTGGGAAGAACCCAAAAGTGCTGCAGTCGGCGCTGATGTAGAGGGACGGTGGAAGAAAGATGGATGGCGCGTGTGAGGGACGGAGGGGAGAAGCTCAGCGAAAGAGAAAAATGGGAGGCTGAAGAGTCTGCGAGAGGCGACGAGGAGATGATGGAGAGGGGGGGTATCTGTTGCCATGGCAACCCCGGCTCTCGTCGAGCCGTTTTATTATTTATTTATTTATCTTCCAGCCAGTTGTGGAGCCGGAAGATTTTTCTTTTCTCTTTCTGTGCTTGAACTCAGTGTTCTAACCAGTACGACCACACCAGCTCTCGTGATTATTATAATTCTGTAAAATTTAAAATGAAAAGCAGCCGTTATATCAACCCAGACTCCAGGGATGCTCAGATTTCTTGGTTTATTACACTATTCATCAAAACCTGAAAGATATTCAGCCTTTTTTTAATATCCACAGTGTTTTTCTGGTAGTTTTGTGTCACTGTGAGCTGAAGATCTTCTGGTTTTAGGCTGTTTATCCGACTAAATACGTCTCCTGATGGGAAACAAATCCGCAAATTAACCAACTTAGGAAGATATCTTGAGGTCTACTTGTTATTTCCTGGGCTTTATGTTTTTTATTCTGGGACTCTTACATGATTCAAACCTTCATTTTTATCCTTAACTGGCACTTTATGCAGCTTCTCAGTTCATTTTTGTCTGTAATAAGCATTTTATCACCTGTTTCTTTAAGTGCTGTCCTGTGCTTTTGCCTCACCGGGATTAAGTTTACATACATTCCCTTAAATATTTGAATCTTTGGTTTAATATGAATATCCAGCACAGACAGAAAAGCACAAGAGGCCCCCTTTAGAAAACGATAGAGACTAAGAAGTGGGATTAAATGGTGTTAAAAAGAAAAAGAAAGTAAACATTTCACATCCTCGTCATTTGTTCCGCTCAGTTTTGGGTATTTTTTTGGTCGACGTTATAAGAAAGTGATGAATTTCTGTTCCGTGTGTCAACTCAATAGTCCGATTTAAAGATGCTGTCATTTTGATTTGTTCTACCTCTTGTGTTTTTTATAAAGTAAAGAAGTTAATCGTCCTTGTTTTCCTCTCCAGCTTTCCCCTGGTTCGGTATGGACATCGGCGGGACCCTGGTGAAGTTGGTGTACTTCGAGCCGGTCGATATCACCGCGGAGGAAGAACAGGAAGAAGTGGAAAACCTCAAGTCCATCCGCCGCTACCTCACTTCAAACGTGGCTTATGGTGCGTCTGTTCACGCACAAACAGTCACATGTGAACATCTGTTAGCTTACGTGTGAATATCTGACAGGGAAAGTCGTGACTTTGAGTTCAGGACACAACAGAAGGTAGATTTTTAGGTCATAGAAATGCACAGGTAAATTCCAGATTGTAAACACGGTTCCTTCCTCGTTCAGGTAAAACAGGTGTCCGCGACGTCCACCTGGAGCTGAGGAACCTGACCATGTGCGGCAGGACGGGGAACCTGCACTTCATCCGCTTCCCGACGCAGGCCATGCCTCGGTTCATTCAGATGGGACGAGACAAGAACTTCTCCAGCCTGCACACAACGCTCTGCGCCACCGGAGGCGGAGCGTACAAGTTCGAGAACGACTTCAGAACGGTGAGACCTGGAAAAGTTTAGTATCAAGTGACAAAACGGCAACTCTGGAGCCTTTAGTTTGTGTGAACTTTGGTTCCTGACAGCGTTACACAACGTTTCACAGTCTGAGCCTCTCAAATGGGGAAAAAAAAGATGCTTTTCATTGTCTTCTGAGTTCTGTGTGTTTAGGACAAAATAAGACTGTTATTAGATTATTATGTATTTATTTATTATACTAACGAGGACACATCTCACGTTTACTGAATCACACTGAACCAGCTGTGGTATAATCTTAGCAGACAGTCCTCTGTGCCTTGATTCGAAGCTGCTTTTCTCCTCGACGTTTTCTGCTTGTTTCTAAATCCTTGACTTTGCCGAAGCGACTGCATTCTGTGTGAGGCTGTCTCAGTGCCTGCTTCCTGAGTTCATTGACCCTGTCTGCAGTGCAGCAGGATCAATGAACTCTCCCTGAGCGCTGCAGCACGAACCGGGCTGAACCAAAAGTCCTAATAAAACCGACTAAATCGACGGGACGTTTCTTGTCTTTTACATTAAATCATCTCGAGCAGTTTAAACCCTTTTGTCACCGTCTTTTCATTGTGTTAAACCTTCTGCGTCTCTGCTGCAGATGGCCGACCTGGAGCTGCTGAAGCTGGACGAGCTGGACTGCCTGATCCGCGGCCTGCTGTTCGTCGACCGGGTGGGCTTCAACGGACACCCAGAGTGCTACTACTTCCAGAACCCGTCGGACACCCAGAGCTGCGTGAAGAAGCCCTGCACACTGGACAACCCCTTCCCCATGCTGCTCGTCAACATCGGCTCCGGCGTTTCCATTCTGGCCGTGTACTCGGAGAACAACTACAAACGGGTGACCGGGACCAGGTGAGCGGGATCGGCACCTAGTCATACATTTTATGATCGCTTAGCAGCAGCATCGTGGGTGAAACTGATGATTTAGTCACAAGGAGCAGGAAGAAAGGGAATGAAGACAAGGAAATGAAGCGTGTAATAGATTTCTACACTGTCTTCTCTGCTTTCTGGTTTTTGGAAGCACAGTTTTCAAACCCAGTCTAAATCCTTGTCTGACAGAAGCCTGTGTGAGCACAAAAAGTGAAAGTACAGCTTTCTGAAAGTGTCAGTTTCAAAATATCTGGTCAAAAGTTGAACGATGGGGCGCTCCTACTACCACGTATAGGGCGAACAGTTTGTGCAGATCAGAAAGAGGGACAAAAAGTAGCATTTATAAACAAAAATATGAATAAAAAAGAATCAACCAGATGATGTAGTTCTACCAAAGTTAAATCTATTTTAAGTAGTGAGTTTTGAGTAACAATATTAACCCTGTTCAGGACTTTTGGGGTCTTTTGGACTCCGGGCCATTTGGTTTAGATGACAGGTATTGTTTTTTATTTTTGAAGATTCTTTTTTAAATATAAAAATAGGGACACTTGTCATGCATTTGGAACCAAAAATACGTCAACGTCGGTGGTTGGCGTCGTCACCTCACAGGTAGAAGGTCGCCGGTTCACGTCCCGGTGAGGACACCCAGGATCTTTCTGCGTGGAGTCTCCATGTTCTCCCCGTGCAGCGTGGGTTCTCTCCGGGTTCTCCGGCTTCCTCCCACAGTCCAGAAACATGTTGAGGTTAATTGGTGATTCTAAATTGTCCGTAGGTGTGAATGTGAGTGTGCTTGGTTGTCTGTCTCTAAGTGTAGCCCTGTGATAGACTGGTTACCTGTCCAGGTGAACCTGCCTTCACCCTGAGTCAGCTGGGATAGACTCCAGCCCCCCATGACCCTAGTGAGGATTAAGTGGTGTATAGATGGAATAAAAGTCTATAATTAATACCAGCAAATATTTTGCACGTATTCTTTCTTGGGGTTCAGTGAACCCTGAAAGACCTTCTACATATGGAAACATGAAAGTCCTGAATGGGGTTAAAGGGCACAGGACGTAAACGACAAAAGTAAACTTAGGCAACAACAGGACGTCTAAATAGACGTTAACAAAACTGACTTACCTGCTCTTGTTTACCAAACAAACATTACTACCAGGATTAGCACCCGTACACCTCGTGGGACTTAACGTTTACAGATGCAGTGAACCTGCATCCAAAGTCTGACCCAACCTCCAGAGACATTCTAGCGTCTCGAACACTTAACAGCATCGGTTACAGAACAACAACAGACAGACGAAGCTTCTGAAGCGGCCGCAAACCACACAAATAACAGAAAGCACAGAGCCACAGAGGCGAGCTGTAAATCTCAGAGTGACGGTTCGGCTGAGCTTTTAAGCCGGCGCGGCGATGACGGCTGCAGATTGATTGGACTGTGGTACCGGTCCAATCAGCCGGAGCGGGAGGCAGCTCGTTGGAGGAGCGGCCAAAACAACAGGCCGAGCAGGATCCAAGCGCAGGCAGCGGTCCAGCACGGGGGATTGCACGTATTAATTCGCATTTGGAAGCAGGACAAGGTTAATCACACCAAAAAAAAACCAAAGGAGCAGCCCAGAGCCATGAAGGAGGTAGAAATGTAGAAGAACGCTGTGATAGAAATCTTTTGTTGTTTAACCCAGTGACCGGCCTTTTAGCCTCTAAACCATCTAAACGACCAGGAACCAGGTCTAGCAGAACCTCCAGTTTTTCTAAATCGCTGATTAAACAGAACAAGCCTCTAAACAAATCGTATTCAAACGTAGCCACACTAGTTTGCATTCTGCTGTTTGTATGATCTGAATTTAAGTGAATTTAATCACATTCAGTGTTGGGAATCTGGTCCCAGTGAGGTGGAGGTGAAGCAGGATGGATTTCCACACACGTATCTTGTCAGTTTGGCCCAAATGAGTCGAAAACAGTTCAAAGATTCGAGGCGTTTGAAGTTCACCCGAAGCCTTCGACGAATGTGTTGCGGCACCGAATATGTGCGAAAGGTGAAGGTGGAGAAACGCCTTTTATTGCTTCAGTTAGATCCGTCAGATATGCAGCCGTTTGAATTCCAGCAGTGGTATCTGTGATCACCTTGTGTACCTTTTGGTTCTTACGTAACAGGAGATGTGATTAGATAGAGAACAAAACACACAATCGGGTCCCTCCCACGTGGACGAGAGGCTGTTGATGTGTGAGAAATGATTTTATTGAACCTTTAATCTGCAGGTTACGTTTAAAAGCACCTGTTAAACCAACGTATCACTATGTTGTTTTGTTCTCATTAACTTTTACATCTACCTTTGCAAGGACCAGTTTGAGACATTCAGAGTTTTTCTTTGCTCAGAATCTATATTTGCAGGATGATTATACACAAAATCTGTGCATTTACTGCTTATTTCTGCACATTTAGTTAAAAAAAAGTCTATTTATCTGCATTTACTTCTAATATTTATCATTTTAGTGTTGGTTAGTTTCCTCTGGAGGAAGCTAAACCCTCTTTGGAAGGCACCTACAACCTCCTGAGGGGGTCGCCTATGAAGGAACATTTTTTCTGGTTTTCGAGGGTTGTTTGAGGGTTTAGACTAAAATAAGGTTTAGAGTAAGAGAGAGGTGCTTACCAGTGATGGTTAGGCTAATAAACCAGAAAATATGTGCGTCTGGAAGGCTTTTATTTCTGCTCCTGGACAAGGAATGATCATACAAATAAGTTCCTTATTTTGCTTAACTTTGCATCTCTGATCCGTTAATATGATATTTTACTTTATTCCTCTCTCTTTATATTCCATTTTTAATATTTAAATGTAATTGTATTCATCCTATTTTAGCTCCTACGTGGCTGCTACTACTATACCAGTCTGTTCGTGCTCTAAATAAAGTCTTTATTTAATTGGATTGGAGGTAAAAATGAGCAAACTAACCGTTGTGCTTGTGAGTGGCGTCGTTGTTATAGTAATCCTGCTTCTGTTTATCTGTCCACAGACCACATGTTTATTTTCTGGTCTGTTTACATCGTGGTTTCCCGCTGAGGCCAACAAGCGTGACATTTACACTGTTTATAAAGCCGATAACTTGGAGGAATCGCTGCCGACTTAGAGGTTAAAGGACAGACGAGAGCTGCACGAACAGAATTCCTCAGACTCTTGAATGAGTCTTGAGAACAGAAGTAGATCTCCATCAGTTGTCCTCACGCCACCTGCTCGTTCTCACGGCTTTCTCCTCGTCTGCCTGCATTTCGTTTACTCCATTTCTCTGCTGCTTTCAGCCTGGGAGGCGGCACATTCCTGGGCCTCTGCTGCCTGCTCACTGGCTGCGAGACGTTCGAGGAGGCGTTGGAAATGGCCAGCAAGGGCGACTCTACCAACGTGGACAAGCTGGTGAAGGACATCTACGGAGGAGACTACGAGCGCTTCGGCCTGCAGGGCTCCGCCGTCGCATCGAGGTGAGTGTGAGGACGCCAACAACACCTGATCCTCTGAGCGCTAAACGCATCGATGGCCATGAATAGAAAGGTTGTGAATATGCTGAGGAGTAAGGCGGGAAGGTGTGAACTCTTTGTGAACCACTAAGATCTTTGGTGAAGCAATGCAACACAAATCTTCTTATTGATGGAGTCTGTCTGTGCTTTTTTCAACAATACAACCCTCCTCAATTTGTCACAACCCGGCTCAAGGCTGCACAAAGCAAGGGTTGTCACTAAAAATAGCTTTATTATACAGAACTTATATGGGACTTAACCTACGTACAGTCAGCAGCTTATATAACAGAGCAGGACCAGGTGAGCTGAACTCGTCCCTCTGGACTCCTGCAGAGATGAACCTCCTCACATATCACACCTTCTTAAAATCATCTGACTCATCATTAATGTATGAATAGTAATAATCCAGTTGCGTCACAACAGGATCCTGAAGCTTCTCTGTTGGTTTTAACAACACATTCAGAATCATCAGCGCTTAAACCGTTAAACACTCATCAGCTCTCATTAGCTGTGTTTTGTATTTAGCGATGTTATCCTACTCATAACAGTCTCTCTCAGCCTTAAAATTAGCTTCTGATTCCCACAGAAAACATATTTAGACAGTTATTATCACAGCTAACTGTCTTCTAGGAAAATACACGTTTAAATCTTTGCTCGTGGAATCAGGAGAAACAAGATTGTGTCACTAAACATGCATCTTTTTTACTTCTCTGACAGCGGAAATCTGATGTTTTTGCATTTTATATAATAATCAAAGACACTGAAACAGGTTGTTATTCATGTAAATGTCACAGGAGATGTTCTGGGATTTAGATTTTGCTCACTGTTTAGCGGATGTGATTAATGCGTTTTTTCTTATAATGATGGATGACACACTGCAAATAATCTGGGACTTGCCAAGATTTAAAATCTTATTTTTTAGACACGATAGATAATTTGGCTCGTTTTAAAAGTTATTTACTCATTTTTAGTCCTTGATTTTTTACAGTACAATCTTAAATTGAGCATTAAAAAATAAATTTATTTCAAGATTTATTATCAAGTAAAATGTACTTGCTTCGTGGACAGATAATGTCACTGGTTTTAAGTCAGTTTCTTCTCAAATTTTGTGTTTATATCTTATATTCGGGCTAGCCTTTTTTGCAGTGCACATATTAGGAGGGGAAAAGCAATAAACAGGTGCATGTTTGGTGGTTTGGGTACAGCCTTAAAGAAAGGTTAAACAGATGAATCTAGATCAGGGGTGTCCAATCCTGGTCCTGGAGGGCCACAGTCCTGCATGTTTTAGATGTGTCCCTCTTCCAACACACCTGATTCAAATGATCAGGATCGTTATCAGGCTTCTGCAGAGCTTGATGATGAGCTGAATCAGGTGTGTTGGAAGAGGGAAACATCTAAAACATGCAGGACTGTGGCCCTCGAGGACCAGGATTGGACACCCCTGACCGAGATGGATCTGGACTCATAAACAGAAGACACAGGGCTAATCGAGTAATTTATCCAAATTATTAAACCAATTATGCAAAGTGGATAAAATCAGCTTGTAACTTGTTTAAGTTTTGCTTCATTCGTCCACATAATTCATTAAACTGCAGAACAACACAACAGCGAGGACATGAATTGTCCAAAACGAGTCGACAGCGACCGGTGAATGAGCTAACAGCTGACTGTTAATAGTAGGTGTTAGATAACACAAACACCAGCTTGCCCACACACATGCTAATCTGGTTTCCGCATGTATACAGTAAACCTGCAGCTCTGGGTTCAAAGGTTGATCCATAAAGTAAAGATTTTATTGCAGCGATTCTAATCAGAGTTTCTTGTTGTGGTGTTACTGGATGTCAACCAGCTCTTGTTTACCTTTTCTTCTGAAGGCTATGATGACATTTATAGAGCATCACGCTCTGTTTGTGTTTGTTTTAAAGTCCATCAGACCTGAATAGGACCCAGTAGGACACGTTTTGTTTGTTTGTTTACATGCTGTGTTTTGTGTTTTACAGTTTTGGTCACATGATGAGCAAAGAGAAGAGAGACAGCATCAGCAAAGAAGACCTGGCCAGGGCCACGCTGGTCACCATCACTAACAACATAGGATCCATAGCTCGCATGTGCGCCGTCAACGAGGTACGAACACACACAATCCTGCTCGCTATCACTCCCGTCCTACCAACAGGCTCGTATAAGTTACGTAACGCAAGCGATTAAAGCCGTGAACCATTAGCTGGTGTTGAAACGCCTAAAAACACAATAACCGGGTTTAGCTTGTCGGCATGTCGCTAATCCACACACACACTCCTCACCTAGCAGCCACTCAGGATGACTTAACAACACAACACTTAATAACACAAAGACACACTCTGAGTCTGTGTTTTCAGGGTTTGTATCACTGGTTAATCACAGGATGACATGTCCTGTGTGAGCTGTTTTAAGAAACTAGAAATCTTCTTTTAATTAATTTCTTTTTTGTGTGTTGTTTTTTTAATGTTTTAAATTACACAAATACCCAAATTATACTCTAACACACTGCTGATGTTGAGCCGGGGAGCAATTTTAGGATTATGGAGGCTAATTGGCACCATGTAATAAAATAAACAAGCCAGTTTAACAGAAAATGAAACGGTGAAGCTGGATATAAAGCGTCTTGGGGCCACAGTCACATTTTCTGGAGTCCTTCTGCGTGCTGTGAGCTTCTTTACAGTGTTGCCTTGTGGCATGGCGATCAAGCAGCATTGTACAGGGCTATCACCGCACACAGAGCTGCAGCGAAGTAGGGCTTCTGACTTCAAGAGAGCTTCTCCTTTAAAGGTTAGATTAGTTTACTGGATGAGCCTCAACACCCACAAACACTGGGTCAAAATGACAAACGTGCACGATGCAGTTAACAGCATGAAGGTCGCTTCTGTCTTTACTTCAAGCTTTTTGACTTTTGGTGTACTAGATCTAATAAACATTAGGTTGTTTGCTAATTTATCAGATCTAGTTTTGATAGCAGTGCAAGATGTTGCAAAACGTGCAAAACGCAAGGTGGAGCGGTGGTTAGCATCGTCGTCTCGCAGCTAGAAGGTCACGGGTGCGCATCCCGGTGAAGACACCCGGGATCTTTCTGCGTGGAGTCTCCATGTTCTCCCCGTGCAGCGTGGGTTCTCTCCGGGTTCTCCGGAAACATGTTGAGGTTAATTGGTGATTCTAAATTGTCCGTAGGTGTGAATGTGAGTGTGCTTGGTTGTCTGTCTCTAAGTGTAGCCCTGTGATAGACTGGTTACCTGTCCAGGTGAACCTGCCTTCACCCTGGGATAGGCTCCAGCCCCCCATGACCCTAGTGAGGATTAAGGTGTAGAAATGATAGATGGATGGATGTTTATCAGCTCTGCAGCGCCACCATGTGGTTTGGTTGGATGTTATGTTTTTGCCCCCTGATGTGTTTCATGAAACAAGGTCGCTCTTGTAACCTTAAGCCTTGTTTATTTTGTGACTGTTTACTCACAAGATGTGATTAAAAAAATTCCTAGAAAGTTTAATGAAGGTCACGTTGTCATTCCACTGTTTACAGAAAGAGTAAAGAGCAGCAGCGTTTGGTCAAATCAGTCTGAATGAAATCTAAAACCATTTTAAGGCCTTCATATTTGTTTTTTGCTTTTATTTTTCCTTATATTTTTATTGTATCTGAACCATTTAATGCCTTTATTGGATTATTGCCTTCATCTATTAGTAAGAGGTTAGAGAAGGACATGTAGTAAAGCCCCCAGTGGGATCAGTTCATTATTCAGTCCTCGGTCATTTTCACATATTAAAGACTTCATGTTTTTGCACATTTGCAGGTTTCTGATTTTATTTTGGGAGCTCTGCAAAAATATCTTTTCATCTCGTGCTCTACATCAACTCTCCTCACTCTGTCTGAAACGCTGCTTCTGTCTCTTTAAGGCCCAACTGTCTGCTCTGATTGGTCAGCTGGCCCAACACAAATAAAATTATGTCCATTAAGTACTGCAACCTCAAAGCTATGAGAATCTGCAGACAAACATCGTCCTACCAGAAGCAGAAGTAATGGGAGATGTAGATAAGTAATGGAGGGAACCTTCAAACGAGGTGTCGGGCAGGTGGGATAATAACGGGAGAGAACGTCGGGCTTTTAAGTTTGCAGATCGTTTACATGCATAAAAAAGTTCTATAGGACAATAAAGATAAACTAAAAACCCACAAGCAAAGCATGGGCTCTTTAAATAAGGATTCGATTTCGTTATCAGATGCATTGATGTTTGATTTCTCTACATTTTTGTGCGTCTTTCTTCACATCAGAAAATCGAGCGCGTGGTGTTCGTCGGGAACTTCCTTCGTATCAACACAGTGTCCACTAAGCTGCTAGCCTACGCCATGGACTTCTGGTCGAAAGGACAGCTCAGAGCCCTCTTCCTGGAACACGAGGTGAGCACGCGACAAACACACTGAAGGTTCAAGTCAGACAGAAAATCAATTAATGAAAAATTAACCAAAGGAGACCAGATATAATCCCGTTTGTCCACTTCATCCTGAGGGGAATCTCAAGACATTTTTTTAAAAAGCAACAGTACTTTTCCTTCAGACTGTCTGTCTCCATCATAAACACGATCCTGCTTCACTCAAACCCATCCTGTGTTTGTGAAAAGTGCCTTCACGTGTTCGTCTTTGTGCTCCAGGGGTATTTCGGGGCCGTGGGAGCGCTGATGGAGCTGCTCAAGACGACCGAGGACCCGTGAACGGGGGGAACCCCGTCGCGACATCATCAACTCTCGACACGACGACGTCACCCGAAACGCCGTGATGTCATCGACTCCCGACGCTGTGACGTCATCGACTTTTTTGACGCTGCTGAAAGGTCCCATTCACAGAGGCCGCTAAAGGAACACTAAGAGAGAGAGAGAGGCAGGAACTGAGAAAAGCCATTTTAATAATTAAACACGTGTAAATAACGATAACCTCTAACATCCACGTCCTACATCCCCCAGAGTCCCCCCTATCATAGAGGTTTTAATATTGTAATCTTTAATTTATAGTTTCCTGTAATCAGGTGTGTTGATTCCTGTGATCAGCCTGTGTCAGGAAGCACAGAGACGCAAAGTATGTTTGTGTATTTGTTTTTGTTACTGTGTGTTTGTGTGATAGCTACTGTAGCATGACGTCCTGAGGGCCGCGGCGTGCCGGGCGACTCTTTGTGCAGCAGCCGCTTCTTACTGATGGGATTTCTGCACAGAAAAGCTCTTAAGTGAGTCATTTGCACCACCAGCGGCTCGAGGAAATCCCACAGAAGCATCAGTGGAGGGTTGCGGTTGCCTGTTTGTTGCACAAAAAGTTGCCCGCCATGCTGCGGCGTCCTGAGGAGTGCACTGAAGCCAAAATCCTGTCGAGATTCATACCTGCCTCCATCGGCTCAGATGGGAAGCAGAAAAACGCTCTTTCATTCTTTCTTTTTGCTCCACTGCACATGGCCTTTGCTTTTTTGTTTGTTTGTTTGTTTGTTTGTTTGTTTGTCTCTCCTCCGTCTGCCTACCTGTAAGCAACCCTATCGGCACCGTATTGCCATGCATGTACACCCAACCCGCTGAGCTTAGCATTAGACCACGGGACCAAGACGTTGTCTTCCAACAGATTAGATCGCTGATTTGTGTCGAGTGCAGCAACCACAGCTCGTGTTCAGGACCCAGTCTGGCTCAGCTGCTTGTGAAATATTATCCGATATCTCCTTCCCTGTCTGTCAGACGAGGACGCTTGGAGCGCTGTTTTCTTACCCTGCTGCCTTGTTTGGATGTTGAGGTGTGATGTAATGAGACGTTGGAGCTGAGCTGAGGTTTGCTCATCGTGAGTCCTCAGCTGGTGACGTCGATGAGGAGACGATGAGGACCAAGATCACCTCTGCCCCATAGTAACCTCGTACTGTTTATAAAACACACTCAATGCTCACTTGCTTGCAGCAGAATCACTTCAACTGCTGTGCTTCTATCGCTCTGATAATGCAGATATCATTTTTATCCTCCCACATCCCGTCCTTACAGGAAGATGTACTCTAGTCGTTGTCCAGCGTCCCCCCATCACAGACACTCTCTGCCCTGGTCAACGCTGACTGACCTTCAGATTAAGGCTCATTTGCAGAACTGGTCAGCGTGAACCACACTGACGTAAACCGAGGTGTGGCACAAACCCCACTTTAAATTTGCACTGAACACGTTAATCAGGGAAGCCATCCGCTAGAAGAGATCCTAGCGTTGTGTTTTTACCAGATTTGGATGTGCTGCTTTGGATCTTATAGAATTCGGTGAAAAAGAATCTCACCTCGTCTGCACTGATGTGGAAGATGTAGGAAAATTTTACTATGCACAGCAACAGAGGTTTCATTATCAACCGCTAAGTTATTATCAGACTGTAGCAGGTTTGGAGCAACATGGACCGTGAGTGTATTTCTTCCTGCAGCATCATAGTGCAGCCTCCCTCTGCTCAGTCCCCTCCCCTCCCAGCCTGGACCTTTCTGGCCTTTCATCTCTTTGTGAGCAGCCGGACGGTGCAGCCTCCACCGTCCAGCTGCCTCGTCCATCTTCATGCCTTCGCTCTCCAGCAGAGGAACTGTGCTCTTCAGGATGACACTACCTGTGACTGTTTGGTTGGTTTTCCTCACCACCAACACCTCGCTCAGAACTGGAGGTTTCCTTGAAGCTCCGATAACTACGAGGCTAAAAGTCTAAACGGCTCGTATGTTGTTAGAACTCCTGAGTCATCATTGAACACACTTTAACCCTGATTGATATCATGTTTGCTGCTACGCCGTTCTGTTTTCTAAGTTAATTTGTTAAAGCACACGTGTAGGACACTTACTGGCTACTTGCGTGTTACGAGCCACACAAACTTATTCAACATTTGAAAGGTTTTTCCTGTGAAACTGAAAACACGTTTTTAGCTCATCAGCCACATTTAAATGGACCGTCTGTGGTTCATGTTAGTTTATTAGCTACCTGTTGGCCTAAATAATCCGACTACCATCACTTATGCAAGCGTTAGGAGTAAATCGATTCGAGTGTTTTGCGATCGTCTCCTCTGAAACACGTTTTCAATCCTACTGTGACACACGCTGTCTTGCTTCTTTTTTCATTTTTCTGTATTTCATTTGCCTTGTTCCAACTCATGTTTGGACGACAACAGTGACCTCAACCCGTCAGGTGCCACTGGGCTCTACCACCCGGCCGCCGTCGGTCGTTCTTGTGCCACCTCCACCTTCCTTTGACTCTCACACACCCCCCCATCAGTTGCCTTGTCAGCGTGTCGGCCTGCTTACACCGTGTCCGTGCCCTTCCTGCTCAGCTTCACCTCTGTGTTTTTGTGACGGGTTTTTACTCTACTGCTTCCTGTCTTTTGTGTTTTTGTTTGTTTGTTGAAGATTCACATTTACAGTCTCACGGTCCCAAGTGCATCTTAGTGCAGAAACACTAACGTCCAGCAGTAATGCAGCGGTTTCGGGAGCTAGTCGGAGGTTTCTGGACGGCTCCACCGCTCTTTGGATATCACAGATGGTTTTTAAAAGCTATGTCATTTTTACTTTTATCTCGATGTTATTTTTGTGGCCAGTAACAATCAGCAATGTGAGTTCATGTGTTGTTCCTGTGTGATATGAAAGAGTACTTTTTATTGTTTTCAGTTGGCACAACAGAACCAGTGTGACTGTTCCCCCCCCTGAAATGTAGACCCCTGTGAGGCTGCCCACATGTTCTCACACAGATGTGATGCAAGTTTCTTATCATCGCTGTCCTGCAGAGCGTTTTTTATCATGTATGTACGGACGCCGGCGGTTTTATCTTCTTACAACGTTGTTCACGGTTCGGCTGATGATCTCTGAGTTCACGTCGAGCTGTACCTGTATGTGTTTCCAGATCATTCACAGTAACCTATAAGTGTTTACAGCAGTGTTACAGGCTGTAAATGAAATGAAATGAGCTCAGACGCTTTGTATTTCTGGACCTAGCTGTTGTACTAACATGCTGCTGCGACTCCAGTGTTTTAGACGACAGTTGTGCAAACGTGTTTTCTACGTTTCCAGTAAGAACCCATCGTTCAGAGCAGTATCAGATTTGCTGAAATGCAAAGCAGGAATTCAGTAAGTTAGCGTTTAAGCAGCGTTTTTCTCTTTAACCAAGTGTTTTTTGGTTGCAGCTGTGTTTGGGGGTTCACTTCCCACTGGGACCACCTGTACTCACATCACCATGTGTTTTTTTCGGTACTGTAAGCAGCTTAGAAACCGAACGGCAAATGTTATGTCATCCCGAGTGAACTCTAACCAACCAGCTATGCAGTAACTCACCCGTCGACCTCTTTGCCCCGTCGCTCATCTCTTCGGTACCACAACTGCTTTTTTTTTTCCCCCCCTCCTTCTGAGAAATCCTGTTTGAATCTTGATGGAGAGAGTTTCTCCTCCTGAAGCTTCTGTCCTGCTCATGTAGACGTTGACACTATTCGAGGCGGATGCTGCTCGTAACAGGATGTTTCAGACCCAGATATGCACCAGGAGTCGATGAGGAAGCTTTTTTCCCATCGTGGCAGACGCTCGTCTCGGTTGCATCTTGTTGGATGAATTTTTTAAAAACCGAGTCCTTCGAGTGAGAGCTGCTGTCAAACCTCCTGCGGCGTTGAAGTCACTGTGACGTGGTGTTCTTTTGGTCAAACAACCTGTTGCGTGAAACACGTCCAGCCTTTGAAACTATCTTCTGGAATGCTTGACTGGCAGGACAGACCTTTTCCTCCCTTGTGTATTTGATTGTACAGAGATTTTTGTAAATAATAATAATATTAATAATATTAATAATAATATGATATATTCTACACCAGCAATCTGTCTGTTGAAAAAGTGGTTTTAACTGTTCAGGGCCAGGTTTCCCAAGCATGACTCGGCAACTGGTGTTCAATCCCAACGCAGACAGAAGACGAACCGCTTCCCTCCCCCGATCTTTACCGACAAGTTTATAGGAGCTGACTAGCAGATATTTCTAGGTTTTAACCTACATGTGGTATATGATTGGGATGTTTCTCATTAGGATTAGATGCATTTTTTTTAGATGTCTTTCTGTGATTGTCTAAAGTTTCTGGCATAATGTGTTAAAATCTCCCATTGGATATATATAAATATATATATATATTATACATTTATTACCACTTTAATGTCATTTTCGCGACTCCATTCAGCTCCATTTAACTTTAATTCAAAAGTAACCACGCTAAATACGTCACACGTAACTCTGAACGCCGACGGAGAGGAGTTCGTTGGATCAGACGTGTCCTCCAAGTCGCTCACATGTTTTCTGTCTGCTGGATTTCGGTGCCGGTCGGCCGCCTCGGCTCCTCTGTGATCTGGCAAAGTTTTGGGAAGCCCAGTGCTGGTTGTTGGCGTCAGTTCAGCTGCTGCTGCTTTTAACTCTGGTTTGAAAAAAAAAAGAAAGGGTTAAAAAGAAAATGAATAAATAAATAAGGCTCCCAGCCTTGTGCAATGTGTATGTACTGAAGTGAAGAGGTTTTTTTTTTCTTTTTTCTAAAAAGGAATTAAACTAAAACTGGATGAGATTTGTGTTCTGGGTGTTTCTTTGTTTGTTCACCTGCATATGGAAAGAAATGACAAGAAACAAAGAATGAGATTGTAAAAGAAGATGCAAGTCAGAGATAATTTCCCTTAAAAGATTTAACACTGAAAAAGTATCACACATAGCATATTACAGGTTAACATGAAGGTATTAAGAAGAAAATGTACTTAACCTGCAAACATCTTTACGTAAAGTGAAGTATTGATGAATTAAAGTGGAAAAAAAATGAGTGGTTTATATACTTAAAGTTAGCAAAACGATGCAAAATGCTTTACCGAAGACCTAAAAGGCATTAATACACAATATTGTAAAGTAGTTAACTAAGGATGGAATGAAAAATAAAAAGTAATACAATAATCTATGATTATATCTGTTATTATTATATCAGGAAGCTTTGTGTGTATAAATATATATGCATATTTTTTTCTTTTTTGTACACTGTGGGACTCTGTATATCAAGAGGCAGGTGAGAAACAACTGAATTAAAATGTGTCTGTATGTGCTTCACATGTCGAGAGGGTTCTGGAACAGGACAAAGAAGTGCCGGGAGAGACAAATGACCGAGTAGAAAACCAAACTGACTTGGTCTTGGAGCAGGAAAACAACAACCTGCAGGTAGGAAGAGATAACTGTGGAGGGGGAGAAAGAAGAGCAGAAGAAAAAGAAGAGGAGCCTCTTCAGTTGTTTCAGAGGAAACACAGAAAAGAAAGAAAAGCTGGAGAAGAAACCAAAAGAACAGGAGGCAAACAAAGAAAAGACGAAGAAGAAGCCCTGCTAGAGCTGGTTGTTCTGAAGAAGAGCAACCATGACAGCAAGGGGACTAATTACCTTACCTTACTGTTTCTTTCTTGATAATCCATGAGACCATGAAGGGCTCGCTGGTGTTACATAACAGATGATAAAGTTATAAAACATGGGTCATGGAGTACAGAGCCCTCTGATGGCTGGATATGAACATATACATATATATATAACAGCTATAAACTCGTCTCTCATTCCTGGTTCTTCAGCTCTGATGCAACAGCTAAACCATGTAACTCTGATTACATCAGGCCAGAGTGTAAAATCACTGCCTGACAGAAGTAATTTAACTGCTTCAATATCAGTCTGATTATCTTTTAATTACTCTTTGATATCAGCACTTTATCTTCCTTTAAATGGCTCCTGAATGTAATAATAATAAAACAATCCACCATCATTTTATTGCCTCATTAAAAGTGGCATCATCTTGCAATTCTCTTGTTTTGCTTCACTAGCATCGTTTGAGAAAACATTAAAGCTTGAAAAGACTCATCTCTTGTG